TCCTGCTGATACATAGTGGAAGTTGATGATATGTAATTAATGGTCAATTTGATGAAGATGGCAATCTTTGTATCAAAAGTTAATTATCTCTCGTGAGTAGCTTCATTCTCAATCACACGAAACAATGATTTTAGCATCTGGCATCTATTTCATGCAAGTGCTTCAAATGAAAAAAGGAATTTTTCCAAGTAACCAAGAGCTGCTAGAGTTTCCACTTTGAAAAGTTCATCTGCCCATTAACTGGTACCTATCCAAATCTTGTTGAGAAAGTGGGAGGGTAACAGTTTCCAAAATTAGCATCTTATGGCTTTTAGCAAATCCCTAATGTGAAAAGTGTTGACAATGAATGGACTGAATTTTTAAGAATAAGTAAATAAGGGTCCAATGAACTTCCATTTCAGGTACTCTGGGTGTAGTTCAGTGGATGGGAGCCAGGAAGCTGCCCTTTCCAAAAGCGCCCAGGTGATTCTTAGGAATGATGAAGTTTGAAAACCAAGGCCGCTGTTCAGCATCTTATGCCCCATGGATCAAAATGCACTTAACAGGGAAAAGCGTGCAACCCGGAAACTCCAATGGGTGCAGAAAAAAAACAGCCCAAGAGAAGCCTGCTCCCTCTAGCCAAAGGACCAGCAGCAAAGGGGCAGCCAGCCAATTCAGAAAACTTTTAGACAATAACCTACCTGCTCTAAAAACCATAGGTAAAACTATGCCCCCCCCCCCACCGAGCCCAGGCAGCAAAGGTGAAGTAGGGAGCCTAGACTTCCACCTGCTCTCCGTGCCCCACACCCATCTGATCCCCTGTCCTCCCCTCCCTTCCCTTCCCCAGGGTGATGTCAGAAAAGGCAGAGTGAAGAGCTGGGACTTTCATCACCTCCAGGCAGCAAGGAGGGCCACCCTGCACCCCCAAGTCAGGTGGAGGCCAGGTGGGGAGCTTGGACTTCCAGCTCCACCCATCAGGTCTGAGGCACCCCTTTGAGTCTGCTAAGACTAAAGAAAAAATGACATTGATATTATATATTATTATATGCTGATAGTGCATCGTATAGCTCAACAGCTGCACTACAAAGTTTTTTTTATTCCTGGTTATATGATGTTACACTCTTTAGTGAGTCACAGTATTTGACAGTTTTCTTAGTATTACACTATGGCACCTGACGCACCTCTGAATACTATGCCCCTCGCATGGCCACCAGCGGATGTTTAGTCAGTTCCTGACAGAGGGATGATTGATGGGCCAGTGACCAGATAATTTTTCAGCACTGTTTTTAAATACTTAATTTGATTTGCCCATTCTAAGTAAGTTCTTAAGTGTTTTCACATTGGGTTAGAAAAGATCTTATTCGTTATATGAACGAATGCAGAGGAGATTCACCCGCATGGCCACTGGGGCAAGTATTTGGAAGATCTACATGGAAATATTAAGAAGAAAATGGGGGAAATCTGTTTTGATTTGGAGCTGGAATTCAATCAGGTCCCTAAGGACTTGTTCGCTGAGGGCAGAGATGCTGTTGTATCCATGGTGTATCCCCAGCATATTGTATACTCATACAGAGGAGTAAAGAGAGGGCCTCTGGGCATCAGGAATGTGGCTGCCTCTTTGGCAGCCCCCAGCCACCAGGCTCAGAGAGGTTAAGAAACTTCTCCAGTGGCACTAGCTTGTGAAAGGCAGAGTTGGATTGGAACCAACTGTGTCCAGTTCTAAAGCCCCTGTGTTACACTCTGTCCGTACTGCCAACCAGAGGGGTTTGTCTCAAAGACCCCTTACTCCATCTTGCCTCCCTCAAGGACCCTGCGATGCCTGGACTTATGGCATATTCCCCACATTTGGAACACACTTGTGCAGGGCCTCCCAGATGCTGGGCACTGAGCTGCCCACTGGGTGGGGTTCAGAGGGAAATTGGACGTGCTCAGGGGCTTGCTGGCAACAAGAGAAAATCGAACTGCATTTGAACTCCTAAGAAGGGGCAGAAAGCAGTAGGTGCCAGGAGAGGGAGGAAGTGCTCCAGGAACTCAAGAAGGATGTGTCACGTCCAGCTGGAAGGCAGGTTCCAGGGAAGGTGCAGCCTTGAATTTGCCTCTTGAAACTCTTACTGAGATTGGGGACACTCACCCTCCATCGAGTTTCCCAGACATTCCAAGGGCTACTGTGTGAGAGCAGCTCCAGCTCCCACATCCCTCTGGCAAATTTCACTGAATACTCCCTCATCAGCCAAGCCCTCTGCTGAGGACTGGAACTCAGCCAGGAGGTGGCCTCTTCCAAATGCTTAGTCCTACCATTGTTCTCTCCCTGTTAGCCTAGAGATAGTAGCCGTTTCCTTCATTATTTCCTGTTATCCTTTTCCATCCCTTTTAGCAGGTAACCAACCACCTGTTACGAGTCAATTCTTTACCTTGAGTAAAACACATGATGCTCACTAAGCAAGGGTTTTGTTAATGAAAGAACGAATTGTGGGGACTTCCCTGGTGGCGCAGCAGTTAAGAATCCGCCTGCCAAGGCAGGGGACACAGGTTCGAGCACTGGTCCGGGAAGATCCCACATGCCGCGGAGCAACTAAGTCCGTGCGCCACAACTACTGAGCCTGCACTCTAGAGCCCGCGAGCCACAACTACTGAGCCCTCGTACCACAACTACTGAAGCCCGTGCGCCTAGAGCCCGTGCTCCGCAACAAGAGAAGCCACCGCAATGAAAAGCCTGTGCACCGCAACAAAAATTAGCCCCTGCTCGCCGCAACTAGAGAAAGCCCGCACGCAGCAATGAAGACCCAATGCAGCCAAAAAATAAATTAATAAAAATAAATTAAACATGTGCTATCAACATTTCAAATTTTTTTTTTTTTTTAAAAAAGAACAAATTGTGGTTACAAATGGAGAGTCTATGGTTAGAAGGGGGTTCCAGAGGTTCAGAGGAAGGAGCAGGAACAGAAGGGAGCAGACGAGCAGGAGTGACAAGGGGTGCACCCTCCTGCCTACTGCTGAGACCAGGAGGATCTGGGCTTCACCATT